CTGACCGTTCCTCAGAATCGGTTACCAGTTACCCGGGATTCAATACCCAAACTGTCTTTCTGGCCAAGCTTTCCAAAGACGTGGACTTGGTATAGCCAGTGACGTGCTTCACTCCATGACGTGCACTGGCCTGTGTGAAGACTGGTGACGAGGCCAGTGCACGTCATGGAGGAAGAAAGTGCTCAGTGTACCCTGGGGAGGGTTCACATACACATGCCTGTGGGCAAAGTGGGTGGGACAACAGGGAGCCAGGATCCCCAATTCATTCATCTTTCATTCATTCAACAAATATTTATGGAGCACCTACTATATGCTAGAGACTATGTCTTTCTGCAAAAGAGCAATAGCAACACAACAAACCAACAAAATCCTTATCGTGGAGTTTACTTTCTAGTGGGAGAGATAGATGAGAAACATGATATACAAATAAATTACATGGCTTGTTATATAGTGATGGATGCTAGGGAGAAAAATAAAGGAGGAAAGGGAGTAGGGAGTATAAAAGTATGCATGTGCACGTGTGTGGGTGTTGTGGCAATTTTAGATACGCTGACTAGGGAAGACCTTACAGAGAGGATGACTTTTTGAGCAAGGACCAGAAGGAAGTAAGGGCAGTAGCCATATGATCTCTGAGACTGGAGGATGCTAAGCTGTAAGGAACAGTAAACGCAAAGGTGCTGAGGTCAGACTGCACCTGAACTGTGTGAAGACTGGTGACGAGGCCAGTGCACGAAGATAGGCCAGGGGTTGAAGAGTCAGAGAGAAGGTTGGAGGGGACACAACAGGGGTCAGAGTGTTTAGAATCTTATAAGCAAGGACTTTCATTTTTACCTAGTGATAGATCGCAGCCACTGAAAGCTTGAATGGAGGAGTGGTGGCCTCATCTCCGGTTTGTTTGAAGTGGACTGTGTTGAGAATAAACTGAAGAGGGGCGGGCAGAAGCAGGGAGATGAGCCAGGAGACAAGTGCAGTAATCCAGCTGAATTTGTCAGGGAAATGAGTGGGGGTTTATAGGCTGTTTATGGTCTGTAAAATATCCTTTATGAGCCGAGTTCCAAGTACCAGAGCCAAAAATTGCCTAAGCACGTCATTGTTTACCCAGCATCAGGCTGGCACAGACAAGCAGGTGGAAAACTGTTCCAAGTACAAGTGCATAAAACCGCGAGTTGCCCTGCTTCTTGGCCCAGATCTCCCATAAAGGAATCTTATGTTTACATTGCTGGAGGTTTGTGGTTCCTTCCCATAACTGCTTTAAAGGAACCACCGTTACTAAAACAGTAATTGACTTATTACATTTCTGTAGGAACTTTGCCCATTCTAACAATTAATTTAAAGTTTATAGGAAACTAAAAAGCTCTTTCCTATACTGGATTGGATCCTGGAACAGAAAAAGGACATTAGTAAAAAAAACTAGTGAAATCTGAATAAAGTCCGGTTTAGTTAATAATATTATGCTAATGCTAATTACTCAGCTTGATTAAATACACTACAGTTAATGTGGTAAACATAGCATGTTAACATTAGAAGAAGCTGAGGGAAGGGTAATGTGTGAACTTCCTACACTATCTTTGCAATGTTTCTGTAAATTTAAAATTATTCCAAAATGAAAAGTTTATTTTAAGAAACTCTCTGAAAGGCAAAAGAAATTGTACATGTCAACATTTTGAAAGTTTTTTGTCAGAGATTAAGTCGGTCAACACATATATTCTGCACTTTTAAGAATTTTTTATCTATTTTTTTTTTTGAGATGGAATCTTGCTTTGTGGCCCAGCTGGAGTCCAGTGGTGCAATCTCGACTCACTGCAACCTTCACCTCCCTGGTTCAAGTGATTCTCCTACCTCAGCCTCCCGAGTAGCTGGGATTACAGCCTGCCACCACACCCAGATAATTTTTGTATTTTCAGTAGAGGTGGGGTTTCACCATGTTGGCCAGGCTGGTCTTGAACTCCTGACCTCAGGCGATCTAACTGCCTCGGCCTCCAGAAGTGTTGGGATTACAGGTGTGAACCACCGTGTCCAGCCTATCCACCCTTAAAAATATTATTACCCCCATAGAGTTAGAAAATAATCTTTTTTTCATTATTGAATTGAGATTAAGCTGCATTTCAAATCCTACACTTGCCTCCTGCACTAAATGTACATGTTTCACTTACGCTCTCAGAGATCTACTCTGCCTGAGAATTAGATACTTTAAAAAACTGGTATTTAACAGTGCAAACCCTTGTCTGGTATTGATTTCTTTTTTCTTGCCTTCCTCCCTTGCTCCATGTCTTCATTCTTGCTATGCATCATATCTTCACTGAACAAATACAACTGAATGCAACTGACACATATACTATGTTTCCATTTTCCTCTTTCCTAAAGCTAAATATGACCTTTATTTGTTTACTGTTCTGAGGCCTTGGGGAAAGAAATTTGCCACTGTGTTAAAAAGGAAAAAATAAAATCTGTTGCCAGGTGTGGTGTCTTGTGCTTGTGCTTCTAGCAATGGGGGAGGCTGAGGTGAGAGGCCAGGAATTCAAGATCAGCAAGGGCAACATATTGAGATCCTGTCTCTACAAAAAATTTAAAGAATTAGCTGGAACTGGTGGTGTGAATGTGTAGTCTGGGCTACTCAGGAGGTTGAGGTGAGAAGATCAGTTGAGCCCAAGAGTTTGAGGCTGCAGTGAGCTGTGATCATGCCACTGCACTCCAGCTTGTGTGACAGAGCAAATCCTTGTCTGAGGAAAGATAAAAAATCTGATCTTCTCAATGTCTGATTGTTTAAGCCAGAAATAATGAATGCAAATGTCTCCAGGGATAAGGCAAGTGCTGTAAAAGTATAAGGCAATCTAGGGTAATAGATAAAAACACACTGGCATAGCCTACTTGGGCTTAAGATGATTCTGATTTTGATTATTCCTGGAAGGTTGTATCCTTCCTAGTACCCGAATGGAAGATTTCAGTCTATTTAGAAAAGGTGCTATATAAATTCAGGTTACGCTTTAGTCAGGTAATGTGGGAAAAATGTGAGCAGTTGTAGTTTGAAGAATATAGTAACCAGAAGGAAGACAAATTTACCTTTCTAAGTAAGGCAGATAAAAGATGGATGAGATTTTAGCCCTGTAGTGAATCACATAATGATACTGCAGGCTCCTCAAGTGTATCTCTTAGTCACTAGGCAGGACAGCATTTAAATCATCATAGAAAGATGACAAACAGAACCTTATCAAAAAACCTGTAGAAGGATCTCACTTCCTAAGCCTTCTAACACGTTAGGATAGGCAAGTTCTTTCTGATAACCGTCTACTTCAAATTTCCACTACTATGAATTAAGTCCATGGTAGATAGTTAAATGAATACAAGCAGGCTAATATTACTAATGTTCTACAGAAGTTTTAATGAAATGTTTAAGATGCAAATGATGAGACTGGATTGCTAACTTGAAGGAAGCAGATAAAGTCAGGACCACATGCACATGCAAAATCCATGAGGAGATGGAGAGTGTAATTGCAGCACTGGCTCTCTCTTTCATCTTGGATGTCCCAAGCATGAACAGAGTCACCCTCTGAACACAATAAGCAGTGCACCTGTGACTTACCACATCTTCTATAAGGATCTGGAACAGCTCGCCCAGGAACACTGCCTGCATCCTCCGACCTCTCCTACCATGCTCTTGGCTAGCCTTTTCTCAGAGCTCTGCAGCCACAGACTCTATCTAGGCAATGGCATCATCTTCCAGAGACTATAAAACCAAGGACACTGATGGTACTCCTCCACAATGCAAGACAATCAACTCTCAATTTCTGAAAGGCTGGAGAAGTGGGATGGTGTGGACGTCCAGCCTTGATGCGTTTCCCTCATATCCTCTGCTAAGAGCAGGTTAAATTGCTAGGATAAATCCACCCTATCCAATCTTAGTAGTGCTTTAGCACACACTATTCTGTGGAGAAAGGTTATATAAGAGTATTGAATGAAACCAAACACAGTGCAATAGTCTTTTCTGTACCAAATAATAGAAATTTTAAACTTGGGATCTGGAGCTATTCAGCTCTTTCCATTCTATTTCCACTGAGTAGAAGTGTTTAGAGGTGGAAAGGTTGGTTGGTGTTTATTTAAAGAATCAATATGGCTGCATGTGCCACCATTCTGTATATTATGGGAATGCATTTCTTCATGATTCTGTACAGCACTGCGGGTTAGGAAAATAGCCAAGCCCCTCATTGCCTGGTACTTGCCTATACCAATAGCAACAAGGCTGTGCACCAGGACAGAGGCTTTTTATCATGGATATCAGGTATCCATATTTATGCACTTGTATGACAGACAAACGCTGATAGTGATTCCCCTAATTTCAAATAAAAATATTTTCTAGGTGTATTTTAAAAATTCTTGGCCAGGTATTGTGGCTGACACCTGTAATCCCAGCACTTTAGGAGGCCGAGGTGGGAGCATCACCTGAGGCAAGAGTTCAAGACCAGTCTGGCCAACATGGCGAAACCCCATCTCTACTAAAAATACAAAAATTAGCTGGGTGTTGTGGCATGCATCTATAATTTCAGCTACTCAGGAGGCTGGGGTAGAAGAATCGCTTGAACTCGGGAGGTGGAGTGAGCCAAGAGAACAACACTGCACTCCAGCCTGGGAGGCTGAGGCAGGAGACTTGCTTGAACCCTGGAGGCAGAGCTTGCAGTGAGCCAAGATCAAGCCACTGCATTCCAGCCTGGGAGACAGTGAGACTCCATCTCAAAAACAAAACAAAACAAAACAACCATCTCAGAAATCATCTGAGGAATCAACAGTGGTCACTAATTCTGGGTTAGGTTATCAACTCTGCAGGCGAAATCTAGTAATTGTTAAAAACAGGTTGAGCATTTCATTATTGAGATGATTTAAATAAATGTTGCTTGGCTGGAGGGTAAAAGTGAAGGTGTTAGCAGCCCCTCCCACCACCTGAGGCTACAGGGAAGGAATACAGTCTCACAGGTAGGCGGCGCAGGTTTCATGCAGCCTTTCCTCACCTCCCCCCAGGCAGCAGGCGGGGGCTCCACTGGAGGGTAGTATTTAGGCACGTCCCAGGCCACTGCAGCCATGAACCATTTGAAGTCCTTGCACTTTAGCTGCTTGCGCAACTCCTTTTGGGCAGAGATGTCCCCCGTGGAGAGATGCCTGTACTCTGGCCGCCGCTGATAAATGTACTCGGCAAATTCATCCATCCAGGTCTCAGCTACCCGCTTCAGGTTCTGTGCAGCAGGAAAAAAAAAGTTATTTATCCCCTTATTTATTCAAAGGGTGGTTTTTTGTTGCACCAGAAATTAAAAAAAGAAAAGGAAAAGCTAGCAGACAACCTCAGGCAGCCCTGGTTGGTGGTTTATGAGCGATGGAAGTTTTCATAACTGCAAGGGGTTTGATATAATTAGCCTGTGGCTTCGCACACATTTCTGCTTCCGGCATGGGGTTCAATTGCCAATTTGGTAATTAATTTATTAGAGCCAGTAAAGATTCGGCTCACTATTATGTCAGCTTTCTTATTCCCCATGTTAATTCATGATTATACATTTTTTATTTTTTACGTAAAACTAAAGGTGTTGAAAGTGGAGAGAATGAAGTTCCTCTTAGGCATGAAATTGCTTAAAGCCTTTCCAGAAACAAGGATCTTGGAAAGAATGAGGACAAACAAGCTATTATTCTTTTCCCCCAACTTTAGAGAGATAACTGAGCATTACTACATTTACAACTGTGTGTTCTGAAATTTTATGTGTGCCACACAGATACCAATCAGAATTTAGCAGTTTACTGTATGATGAAGTGGGGCTAAAGGAAGCACCAAGTAGCCAGTTTTGTCCACAGATGTGTCCCTGGGGTGAAGGAAGTGAAAAGTTGGTGGTGGGGAATAAGCATGGATCTTAGGTGGGGGAGAGTGTGTGGATCTTGGGTGTAGCAGAGTGTGTGGATTCAGTGTAGGAAGCTCAGCCCTTTTGTGGGTTTTGGAATTGACCAAGTTACGCACCCACGCTGGGTATCAGATTCCTCACCTGAAAATGGCAACAGTAATACATGCCTGCATCATGGGGGTGGCTGTAGGATTAAGTAAGGCAACACCTGTAAAGCACTTAGAATAAATACCTGGCACATAATAGGCACCACAAATATTAGAGCTATTATTAGCAGTAAAATGAGTGCAGGATTGGAAATTGGAGACCCTGGTGGTGTTGGGCTAGCCACATGTTAATGGAACTGTTCCTGTGGCCTTTAGGAAAGGGATTAGCTGAGATGAGATGCTCTCTGATGGGCCTCCAAGCTCTATGGTGCTAAATAGTAGAAAGAGTGACTGCGTTTGTGTAGAAGATGCCAGTTTGATGCCTCCAGCTTCAATGTGCTGCAGCACATTTTCATAGGCTGGTGGTGTCCCATAGTCTCTGCTTCTTGTGTCCTGCTCAAGTTCTTATTTTAAGTGCTCGGTTGGTGTGAGCATGACCCACTCCTGTTTCTCACTTGCACTTAGAAGATAAATGAGAGCAATGGCCAGGAACTTTAATGAGATCTGGACAGAGGTGACTAAAGTAAAAGCTAGTGACATTTAGGAAAAGTGCTTTCTCTTAAAAATGACTGCAGAATCCTAATTCAGGCCTGGAACTCTGCCCAGAGGTCTGTTGGATTTGAAGGCATCGTCACTGATACCTCATTACTAATGAGACCACGCATTTCTTCTTCCACTCCACTCATTCCGTGTGTTCAGTGTCTCCCAGTGGGCCTCTCCTCTCTGAACTTGTCCCCGCTTCTCACTCTCCGTGGACTCCTTGGGTGCGTTTGGTGGATGGCGGGCTACAAGAAGGGCTCTGTTAACACAGCAAGATGCAGAAAAGAGACAGAGCCACAAAGAAAGCTCTGATTTCTCAGTTCCCTCTGTGTTCCTTTCCTTTTAAGATGCCTGGTGCATAGATAGGAAGATAGGAAAATGACCTTGAAAATGTGAGAATTGTTCCCTGAGAGATTATTATCTGCCACTGCTATGCGCCCTACCATCCCATCAGCATTGCCTGGCCCATAACCCTTTCTGCTCCTTGGACTCCAGTTTACCTTAACAGATAACCAGAGTCAACATGGTTTTGTAATATTCTAGCCCTTGCCACCAGTTCAGAATCAGCTGATTCATTTGGGAACCAGAAAGGAAGCAGATGAGGTCCTGAGAGTCCTGCTCTGGGATGGCACTGTGTCCTACGTATATACATCAACTCTCAGTGTGAGTCTGTAATATCACCTCACTATTTTCATTTCATTTTGACAAACATTTTGTATGAGATGCATTCTATTTCACTTGTCCTCAGGCCAAATTTCTAAATGAGGATTAGAATGAAAAAAATTAGTTATATTCAAAATTGATTTTAGGCTGTAGTTCCAATCTTTTACCCTAAACTGCAATATTAAATAAAGCGGAAATATTTAATTTTCATCAATTTACACCTCTCTGATAAGTGAAAATGAATACAGTTAGGGAAATGGCAAAAAGCAGAAGCAAATGACCCAGGAATAATGAGAAAGTGATTTTCTTGGAAAAACCATGCCTTTAAAATTCCGGTAGCTTGCAAAAACGATCTGTCATTAAGGACTCTGTTTTGACTTGAATAAGTAAGCACTTTTAGACTATACGTGCCATGACGTTAGGGATGGATCTGTTTTTTCCTTAAAAGGCCTAGCATCTTGTGTGATTCCAGAAACATGTATGTGCTCATCTGGGCAAGCTAATTATTGAATTAATGATAGACCATATGCTAAAATAAATGTGAACAAATTCATAGTGTGCATAAGTATCTATTGATAAAAGTGCTGAAATGGGGACAATTAAAAACAAGTGCTGTTGCTAAATGGTAGATTTTTGTTGCTTTGGGTTTTTGAAATAGACATGGCAATTATTGCAAAACTCATAGAGAAACTAACTAACGCTGGTGCAGTCAATGGGAAACGGCTCAGAGGATCATGATAAATGCTAACCAGAATAGGCAACAGCAATAAGTAAAAGAGGCAAGAGTCAGCATGTTGGAAAGCTGTCACCAAAGGTCAAGTGTGCTCTAGTATAGTTAACTAGGGAACTAGCCAGGTAGCTCTGCATCATCATGTCCGTTTCAAGTTGAAAGATACCAGTTGTGCTGATTTCTCAAGCATTCCAAAGTGGCCAGGCATGGTGGCTCATGCCTGTAATCTCAGCACTTTGGAAGGCTGAGGCGGGTGGATCACCTAAGGTCAGGAGTTCCAGACCAGTGTGGCCAACATGGTGAAACCACATCTCTACTAAACACACACACACACACACACACACACACACACACATTTAGCCAGGTGTGGTGGCAGACGCCTGTAATTCCAGCTACTTGGGAAGCTGAGGCAGGAGAACTGCTTAAACCTGGGAGGCAGAGGTTGCCATGAGCTGAGATCATGCCACAGCACTCCAGCCTGGGCAGTAAAAGTGAAACTCTGTCTCAAAACAAACAAACAACCCCCCAGAAAACCACTCCAAAGCAAGCAGTGGGATCATGAACATATTCCAAGGATCATGTGTGTTCATCAATTCCTTTTTTTGTAGTTTTACAATTTATTATGTAGAATTACATAATAATAAAATACAATTTATTATGTAGAAACAACATAATAATTGCAAAGATGGCAATAGCAAGTTTCCCTCTAGGTATGACTGTTACATAAACATTTAAACATAAATAAAACATTGTGACCATTCTCTAATGTCCCCATTGGCTTATTAGACATTTTGGATTATAGATGCTCTGTTCTCTGAAATTTCCTATGAGGAGGGAAACTTTCTAAAGTGTCAATTATTATATTCAAGGAATGGCCCTCATTCCTCAACCATCCAGGTTGCTGGCCAAATAAAATCTTTCTGAGGTTATTATTCTGGAAATAATAAAACATTGTGTTAATTTGTCACTGGGATCATAAACCAGTACTCAGTTTTTCGGAAAACGTTGGTAGCACAGCTGAGAAAGATTGCAAGCAGTTGCAAAAAGATAGTTTCATTGTCTTTTATAGATTATAGAATAAATTGACCCACTCCAGGAAATAGCACGATCATATACTCATTGGAGTTCGTTGGGGTGTTTATCCATGAGCACGCATAGCACACATTCACATACACAGAGATAGTGAAGTGGGAGCAAAGCAATATTTCTCACTTAAACACCTATGGCTGTGTAAACATGTGCAGAATCATGAAATGGAAACATCCCAATAACAGCTTGTGTCAGAGTTGGTAAAAGAGAAAATAAATCAATCTGAGTAGTCCTATCTTTCTCTGAGATTAAATGAACATTGGTGGAGGTGCTAAGATTTTCAAAAAAAGGTTCAAGGGGAAGGAAATGTGGGACCGTGTTAAAGAAACTTCTCTACCTGGGTCCGTGAGGGGCGTGGTTTCAAGTATGGGAATTTCCGGGCTCCCTGCCTCAGGCGACTTGGGCTCTTTGAGCACCTCTTCCACGCGGGCCAGGTCAAGTTCTTTATCTATCTTCCAGTCAGGAAGCTTTTGTCCCGTAAATTCACACCAGAGCTCATGGAGGAGGGGGCTCTGTGACTCAGGGTTGTAAAACAAGTCAAAGATCAATCAATCCTGAGGAAGTTTGAAAGAACTCCTCTCATTGGATGAGAAAATGAATGGGGAGGGACTAACTCGAGGGTTAAAACTTGAGTTGCTCCTACCTGAACATATTCCCTCTCTGGGTTCTCCTCCCATGACAGCGTGGAAACTGCCTTTTCTCTCTCTCTCTCTCTGTGTGTCTAATAAATCACTCTTCCACAAAACTCTCTGGGTCCACGATTTTTATTACAACGGTAAACTCATCGTGCCTCTGGGGCCCCTGTCCCCATTCTTCCGAGTTAGAGAGGCCAAGAGCCTCCAAGCTAGGTCTAGAGGTTAGGATTCCTGGTTTTCACCCAGGCGGCCCGGGCTTGGACTCGACTCCTGGTGTGGGAACCAGGCAATCCGATTGAAGTTTTACTCCCCTGGTAACAGAAAGGGTCAAGCATGAATGCTGGGAGATCTATACATGTAATCATTTACTCTTGAACTATCAGATGTCGCACCTTTAGAGGTTGCCTTATATACACAGAGCCAGGTGTTAGCTGGGATTTTTGCTTTTCTTGAGATTTAAGTAAAAGTGCTTTAACTTCAAATCGCATGTCCCTGTTCTGAAGATTTCTGTGGATTCCCAAAGGTGTCACAAATTCATCCTTCAAT